CCCAAGAGTCCGGACCGAGCGTCTAACGAGCGTCCACCCATTCGGGAACCGGACGTCCACCCAAGATTGGACGTCCGCCCACCAATTAGGACCGAGCGTCCAATCATCCATAGACTGAACGCCTTCCCAAACGATCCGCACTCAGTTGATAACATTGTTAAAAGCTAAATGGCACATTAAAGTCCTTAATGAAGATTAAGGTATTATTGGGCCGTTTCCAGGCCCCCAAAAGGTAAAAGCCCATCACAATCAGTATAAATAAAGGTCTCAGGTATGATTTCTGGACAGATTGCTTAGAACGCAACACATGCATGCATTATATAACGCTCTGTCATATTACTGACTTGAGCGTCGGAGTGCCTTTAGCAGGTACCCGGCCCCTCCCCAAACCGGGAGTGTGGAGCAGCACTTGGAGTAGGAGGACGTCCGCCCAACTTGGAGTGAGGAGCAGCGCCAGGAGAAGGAGGACGTCCGCCCAACTTGGAGTGAGGAGCAGCGCCAGGAGAAGGAGGACGTCCGCCCGATTTGGAGTGTGGAGCAGCAGCCTCTCGGTCCGCATCAGCTGGAGAGAAAGCGTTCGCTAGCCGGTACTGTTCGTGTTCGACCGTCCAGTCTTGAACAGCGTTCGTCCATCACTGTACCGTTCGCCCGGTCTACATTAGCTGGAGAGAAAGCGTCCGTCTGGTCCGCGCTGCCGCATCGTTCGTCCGCCCGTCTCCAGCGTTCGTGATCGTTCGTCAGCCTGTCTCCAGCGTTCGTGATCGTTCGTCCGCACGGTCAGGTGTGTTTTAACAGGGTCGGCTCGGATTCCGTCGAAACAAAAGTAATTATTAAATTATTGTACTTTTATTTGCAAGTATTTTAATACAAAAGTATTTATCAAGTTATAAATATATCCATATATGTGAGCTAATATGAGATGCTTACATTGAATTAATTATTTCTAAAGATATGGTCTTTGTCAAAAGTTTGAAAGTTGTTAGTTTTAGAAATATTGCATGACTTTTTGTATCGTAACCTCACAAAATCTGCAACACATTTATTATAGAAATTATTCTGTAATGGACCAGGTTTTATAAGTTCTACAATGCATTACAACATCAAAATTTAAGGGAATGAGAGTTTAAAATTAAAAAACATATTAAAGGATTCTCGTAATGGGACAGTGGCTCTGGAGGTTAATCTTTATTTCTATTTTCACTTTAAGTTTATAATAATAATTAATTAATTTAACATTTTTAATAGGGTAAAATTAATTTTTACATGTTTTTTTCTACTTTTGGTAGAGGGACTTAGGATCAATATGACACGTATTTTACACAGACCGATGCACGTTAACCTGTAAGTAGACTTACCCATTATTTTATTTTTCTCACATTGAAACTTTTATTAGCACTACGAGGAATAGAGTTTGTTCACACTTCTTTTGTTAAGTTATTTTATAACTTTTATTTAAATAAAATATGCATATACATTATTATTATTTTATATTTTCTGATTTTAAGTTTAAAATAATATTATTAGAATCAATACTTCATTTGAGAAATTATTTACCTTAAAACTTTAAATTTTATTACAATTTTATCTTAAAACGGCATCTTTTAAAGAAAAACGTGTTTAAATTATTATTAGTCTCAATTATCAAACGATGTGAAACTATTAATTCTACCAAAATAAATTTCCACTAAGTTAGAGTTGCATTGTACTTATAGGAGGAATTCTCCTTAAGATTATTACAAGAAAATCACAAGTTATGAAAATTAGTTTTTTCACATGAAACAAAAACTTTAGAGTCTTAGAAAATCATTTTCCTTTTTGACAATTGATTCCAAATCTTTTGGTAACAAAACAACTTTTTAATTTTCCACTAAATGTATTACCTAAATTTGCATAGATTATAGTTTCAGGTGATCATCAATTCAATTACTAGATAACTTAATTATTGCAATGAAAATTACATGTTTGAAGATCTATGAGCACTAAGCTTTGATTGAACCAAGACTTGAGGGACTAGGCTATATACATTATTAAAGACTATTTTGTTCACTCAATCATGATGGAACAATATATAATATCAATCTTAAAAAAGAATCCTTATAAACTATGGAGAGGATAATTGTTTCAATCTCAAATCCATTCAGATGGTATTGCTATTAATCACTGCATTTAAGGTATTATCTACTTTGAAACTCAACTTTGTCATGATTTTTGTTATTAAAAAATGTCTCAGATTAGAATCAGCAATATATGGTGTGATGGTGATTAAGAAAGGACAAGAAAGATCCCCACTGAACAATTATATGACCAAGGTTATTTAGATGTGAAGGTTGTAACATCTCATTTTTATTACATATATGATAAATTAACTAATACAAGAAACAAACCTACGAAAAACAATATATACACCTGTAGATTTGTCCGACTTCTTTACTGAATACCCTCGATCACATATAAATGAAGTAACTGAAACAGATGTCTCCCTAAGCTCACACCAATCAGGTGATCATCGCAAAAGAGAAAACATACAAGGACAGACATTAGAAAAGCAAGGGTAAGCTAGATATAAAAGACTTCATACAATTGTATCACATAACACATTAACATAATTATTCAAACAAGATAAATTAGTTCAGACATCCTAACATGTTATGACCTAGACTTGACCGTCCGGACTTAGAATGATTGTTGAGCTATGGCGGGTCATGCACTCGTGGTGGCCTTTACTGCTTTGCAAAGACATTGCAAATGGGTTTCATCCTACCACACTCACGAGGTTAGTTTGTTCCGGGCCTTGAGGCATACTGGAAGCCCCCAAGACTAAGACCTCTTGCTACTCCTCACAACATGGTTCAATCCTCTTACTACAAAAAAGAAGGGCATTACGGACGGCCGAAGTCCATCGAAAATAGCCAAAAAGCCGTCGATAATGCCCATTACCGACGGATTAGCGACGGCCAATTGGCCGTCGCTAAATCGGTTGTCGCTAACATTTACCGACGGCCTTTGTTCCTCGGTAATTACCGAAGGGCAAAGACCTTCGGTAAGGCCTTCGGTAAGAATCAAGCAGGATTAAAGGGTAAAGAATCACTGAACTACATTTAAAATCATTAGCAAATTGTAATACAACTGGTAATGCGATGAACTCTGTAATTTCCTTTCATGTTAAATCATTTTTCGGAACATATCTCTTGAAGAAGGTACTAATGAATGTAATCTTTTGTCATTCAACAAAGAACAAAGTACAGAAGAAAAAAGGCTATGAATTATAGAATCTAACTGTAAATAGAAAGCTCTTATGAATAAGAAAGCTCTTTTGTAATTTACATTCTTAGCAATCTTCAAAAGAAATTAGACGAAGAATGAATAAGAAAAAAGAAAGACTTCAATCTGATGAAATTGAGTGAGAATACCAAACAAGGATTGTCCAACTTGGCAAACTCGTAGCTGGTTATGTATGGGCTGCTTTAAATGAAACAATTGACAACGTCTGTGGAACTGTAAAACTAGTAGCAATCACATTCCCCCTGCTCCATAAAAGTGGTATATAACATAATTAGATAGAACTAAAAGTTCTTTTTTTTCAGCGCCATTTTCACTAAACATATTATATAAAACGAGGGAAGAAAAAAAGAAAGAAAGGGCTTGATTACTTAGAAATGTAGCTCCTCCAACAAGGTCTATTTGGAAGTTAGGAGGTAGAGAATACATCTCTGATCTTTTCAAATAAGGCAATTCTTCAAGAACAATCGCTGTAGTAACCATAATACCAAAAAGGAACCCATAGCCTATCTTCCAATCACTTCCTGTTGGTGTATACTGTGAAGGAACCAAAGTTTGTAATAAGAGGGATTAACAAAGTTAAGGAAATAAAAAACCAGTATATATAAATGGGACACTCGAATAAATAAAATCAAAAATAAATAATTATTCTTTTATGAAAATCTGCAAGGATTTGACTATTATTAACCTTATATATGAAATAAATTTAAGTATTAGCAATATATAAATAAAATAACTATGAAATAATTATACAATAAAATACCATGTCGTAATTGTAATTAATAAAAAAATTATATTTGGATTCCTTTAGCAAAGGGAAAACAAAATTACAACAATCAAAGAACACCAAACAAAACATGATAAATTTTCAAATTAATAAATAGTCTTTATTTTGAATCTAATTATATATGGATTTGAGTTAATTATATATTGATTTGAGTTAAATATAGCATTCAAAAAATAAAAAGAACATTGCATTGATGTTGGATGATCATGCATAACACAGTTAAATAATTGCATCCCCAACACTATGTTTATGACCGCAAATATGAGTACCAACCTTACCTTAATTAACTTATTTTTCTTAATTCCTTTTGCTATCATAATTTATATAGAAAATTATCTAGGCAAGGTTAGATATGGATCAGTGACAAACCTGAAGAATAGTTAGTACAAGGGCAAAAATGCCTATGCCTATGTGATCTAGCATTTAAGGGATCCTTGTGCCTGAAATGTCTAGCAATAACGTATTCCCTCCTTCAACAAAATCAAGTTTCAAGTTTCAAGATCCCAGTTGAAAAACACAATTAGGATTGGTCATCAATAACACTCTTCAACAATTACAACACACACATTAACCAAACCAAAATTCTATACTCTCTCAAATGGTCATCTCGAACTCAAACCGAAATTGGAGTTTCAAACTCACAATTATTACAATATAATCAGCAAAATATATGTCTACATAGAGGATCTGGTAGAAGACTTTCTCCATAAGCAATTATACTGGAGAAGAATAGCAAGAGAAATTGAATTTCTTTATATATATATATATATATATATATATATATATATTGTAAGTTTCTTTCAATTTGTCATTTTTAGAGTTTTTACAATGAAGCTAGTTGATCAGAGCAGAATTCTGGTCTAATTTAGCACTAAAAAAGCGATGCAAGACAAAGAAAAGAAGCACCACCTTCTAGCAAAGGCGCATGGGCACCTCAAGGCTCCCTCCGGATCTCCCTCACCACGTCGTCACCTTCGTCTTCCTCCTCCTGTGCCCCCTCTTCCTCAAGGCGGAGCCTGCACAACGGGCACGGCATGTGGAGGTCGAGCCACGGTGTGATGCAACCGACATGGTAGAGATGTTTGCAAGGCAACTGTTTGGCCTCGGCGTCAAAGAGGGAAATTTGGTCTTTGCACACAACGCAGAAAACAACGCCATTGGGGTCGAGCGCGGAAAGGAGCGAGGGTGTGACGTTGACGAAGGGGAGAGGGCAGGGTTTGGCGGGGAGGGGCTTGGGGGAGAGGAGTAAGAGCGCTTCGTGGAAAACGACGCCAAAGAGGGGTGATTCGACATTGTTTTGGGAGAAGGGAGAGGCCATTAGTTCGAGGAAGGAGGTGTGGCAGTGGAGACAGAGGAGAGGCGAGGGAAGGAGCGTAAGGGACACGCTCATATCGCATTCGTGGCACCCGTAGGTCGTCGCTTGTAGCTCCGCCGCTGTCGCCATCATAGGTGTTTCCCTCTACGAATGATTGTGAACTTAATAGGGAGGCACCCTCCTAGATTGCACAAACACGCTCAACCACCGAAAATGCTCGCGCTCTTCACAACACTGCTATGCCAACAGAAGATGGAAGGGACCGATGATGCGCAAACAAAAGGGAACCAAACGAATGAGGAGAAATTTGGAGGTACCCTCACATGCCCTCAGATTTCAATTTCGGGGAAGAGAAGAGAGAAATTTGGGCGAAAGGAACTGCTAAAATTGCAAATGAGCGAGGGAATACCAAAATTTGGGTTAAGTCATCGTGTACAATACCGAAGGCTCGTATCCGCCGGTATATTACGGCAGACGCAAATTACCGAAGGACACCTGACCCTCGGTAATTATCCGCCGCTAATACGCGTGTTTCTTGTAGTGTCTCTACTTGAGAATGAAAAACCATTGGAGTTTCAGGATAACCCCCAAGACTGAGCTCCCTGCAAATCATTCTAAACTTACACAAGGCACCACCATGAAACCTCTCCATGAGGATCATGGAATTACGTCCATCAACCATACTTTAAAACCACATACTTTCATTAGCTTTAAATCACCATTCATACCTTTGAATCACATACTTTTATGTGTAGTTAACATCCATGTTTATCCTCTTTTATATAATACAAAACACTCTCAAACATAATTCACAAACCAAACAACAGCCAACATAGTACAAGACAAGATGATAGAAAAAGATAGTAAACTAAACTCAGAACTTTCGCACAGCGCACCCCCATTTGTAGAGCGAGACTAGGAGTTTCTCATACAGCGACACAACTCGTTGTGCGAATTAACTCACAAAGGTACCAAACTTCAAGCCCCTCGTATAGCGCACCCAGGTCGCTATGAGAAAGCCCAAATAGAGACCAAAACCCTCACTCATTCACTATGCGCCCCCTTTCGCTATTCGAATTTAAACTGATAGTGATTCCAAACCAACATCAGTCGCACAATGCCCAGATTCGCTATGTGAATCATCAGACAGAGAACAACCCTCTCCACTCACTCACACAGCGCACTAATTCGCTGTGCGATTGACTGAACAGAGGAGCACCTCGCTGTAAGGACTCGCTGTGCGAAACTATCAACACAGCGAGTCTATATAATCTGCAGAACAAAATTATGCAGAATAATGCAACTCATACACCATTCACCAATTCTAACTATTTTTCCCAACTTCTAACACCCCTATATTTTGTTACATACCTAATTAGACTTGTCTAAGTGATTCTAAACTTTCCTACCACCAATCTAAAGAGATTATGAACCAAATCCTATTCTAGAACATCAAATTTCTCAACTTAAAGACCCAAAATCCATTCTACCACTTTGTACATATTTTTGACCATTTTGATGACTCAAACAAGTCACATCTGACTTACATAAACTGTCCCAAAAGACCAATTAAGCCCTTGACCTCCAATTCTCATTTCCACTACCTCACTTCCTCTAAAATGACTCTAAACAAGCACAATTCACTTCACTTTCTATCTAATCACTACCATAACAGACTACTCACATTTAATATGTTCAATTACAGTTGCACACACCATCCAACTCAGTTCACAACTCTTATTTCACAGTTTCATGATTTGGCAATCAAAGAACAAATAATTTAATCTACTCAAAACCTAAGATTCAACTCAAATAGCACCATAACACAAAATTTATCACACACACATGTCATACTACTAATTAAAACAAAAATCTAGCTTCCCTTACCTTAGAGAAACGCAGTGCAACTCACTGAAACCCCCAACAGAAGTTTGCGTCGCAAGGAAATTCTAAAAAATCCTACAACTCACCAATTTGTGATAGCAAAACCAACCTTATAACCTAAATTAAGCTAGAAGTTGAAGAGAAACAACCAGATACATGAAAACAAGAATCGTTGCATGATCACAGTCCAAGAACGTACAGAAAAAGAGGGGGAATAACTTACCGGCTCAAAATAGGAAATTGATCGGTAGGAGTTGTAGCCCTCAACACCAGGATCGCCTAGACACTTCCTTATCGTCGAACAGACGACTTGAGATCAAGAACTCTTAGAGAGAAGGTAGAGAACTCTAGAAAAGTGGTTTCTAGAGAGATGGTACGTTTTAAAATAATGAAACTCGCTTATAACAAAACTATTTATAATAAAAGCGTTTAATATTAAAATAATTGAGTCTCACTATTTTTAGACTACCACCACTTCTAAAATACCATTTTCTGGGGTTTCACATTCTCCCCAACAAGAAAAATTTTCGTCCTCAAAAGTTCACTTATTAGATAGAAGGAACAACCTATTCTCATCACATTCTCTAATACAACCTCCTATTTAACAAAGATACTATTCCCCAACAATCTTACTGATATGAAAAACCTTGCCTCTATGCTAAAATGCTCTAGTGTTCAATAATGTAGATTATTCTAGCTATTATTCTTAAAACAAATTTGAACCCCAACACCTCAACTTTTAAGAATCTCTCCTTCGGCTAACCAACCATGTTGTGTTTGCCACACTGCCAACCCCTCACATATCCTTCGCCATTTCTTGTAAAACTCTTCTAAAACCTATACTAGTCTTGACTTTAAATCAACCCTTGACTCACTAGTGCAGAAAGGGCTTTAGACGTCCGATATTTTGGCCTTTTGACGTCCGACGTACGCCCGACGTTTATGTGGGTGACATCGCTCAAACGTCTGTTGTGTAAGGACGGACGTCTATATAGACGTCCGCCTCCTCCCTTCCCGGACGTCTAAGTGGTTGAATTGTTTTTGATAGGGGCTGGGAGGTGGACGTCCGTGTGTGCACTGACAGACATCTATAGACGTCCGACTGTACACTAACGGACGTCTACTGGGCGTTTTTTTTTTAAAAATTAGTTTATTTTTTCAATAAAACCACACCTGAAAAGCAGAAAAATGTCCCAGAACAATTTTGCAATAATATAAATATGCGTTTTATATAAAAAAAGTTCTACTTAATGTGGAGTTCAATCCACTACCAAACTATCAACATAAAACTTAAACTAAAACTAAACAATGTTCAAGAAGAAATATAACTATTCCTAACTCCATCTTTGCAGAAGATAAGCGGTCCACTCCTGCCTTATCTGTTTAATTGTGTCCTCTGTAATAGG